GATTGTGAGCTTATGTGGAGGCACTTCAAATAGTGCTCTTAATGGGCTGTAACAAGAGAAATCACAAATCTAGAAACAAATCTAGAAATAGACAAGAACTATTACAAAATCTAGAAAGGCACACCAGTTCAAGGAGAAATCTAGAGTGTTGTTAAGACAGATTTCATGTTTATCAATGTACGTCTCCCTTCTTAGTTATGACTGCACGGCACATAATCATTCGTCAAACGGATTTATCCTGATTTCCTTGGCCATTCTCCCATCACGGGATACTTAAACTATTTCCTTCCTTTATTTTTTTTTCCTCACCATTACAATAATATTGCAATGAAAATCTTTGCATGCTTAAAGCTTTTTCAGTATTTAAGATTCTTTCCTAAGATAAAATTCTCAAAGCGTAAGCTTACTAGGTCAAAGTATATGAATGTTTTTAAGATGCTTGATACTTATTGCTGCTACTGTTTTTTAAAAAAGAGAAAATTACTCCCTTTTTATTTTGGAATTTATAAGATAGTATTTATTCAGGAGATTGCCTTCTCATTGTAGTATCGCTCAGTTCTTATTAAAAGGAGTATGTCTTATTGAGCATTCATTCCCTAGTCAGGGGGTGGAGGTCAGCAGTTTGGCACCAAAATCCACTGCAGACAATCTGAGGGTAGATAGTAGAAGGGGAAGAGGGTAAGCACATCCTCCCCCCATGTCTCTGATAAGTACCCAAAGATGGGAACGTTATTACACGTGATATAGAAAAAGTTAACTCAATTAACTCCCAAACCCAAGACCCATTCCGGAAAGAGACAAATTCTGCCCAAGAAGCAAACAAGACCGTGAAGGTGCGCAGTTCTCCGGTGTGTCAGGTGCAATCCTTTGGCTTGGTGTATTAACAAGATTGCATCTCATCCTAAAGCTATCTCAGCAGATCTCTAACTCCACCTCAAAGAGCCAGTGGTTGGACCAGAGCTCTGGCAGCAGCTGCTGCTGCCACTGGGGAAGCCAAAATGAATAGTTACTCTTGCTGAGTGTTTCCCTTTGGGGCCTGGCAAAGCCTCTGTTTGTAAAATTGTTGGCTTTGTTCTTGATTCTGCCCTGAACTGAGCAGGAAGTTTAGACTGTTTCACCCTGGCTGGGCCCTCCAGTTACACTACACTGTGACACCACCATTTCCCATTTCCCTGCTGCAGAACCTCTGTCCACCCAGGTTGGCTGGCTATGGGGTGAAGGGACAGAAAAGGAACAGCCAAGGAGCAAGGCACAGGAGACTAATGTGACCCAGAGGTCACCTGGGTCCCTTGATCTCAACCTCATTAGGGCCACAGATCTCTTTGATCCTCAGATGAAAGTGGTCGAACCCTCTCTCCAGAAAAATTTTACATACATTCCAGGATATTTTACAGATAAGGACATGAAGGCCCAAAGAAAATGCAGGGACTTTCCCAGGGTTACACAGAGAAGATAACTGATTTCAAGTTCAGCTCTCCTGATTCTCAATGCAGGACCTATCAGCCCATACTAGGAGGTTTCCACTCTATGTTGAACCCTAGATGGGAATTACGGGAAGTTAGGATGTGGATGCTGACAACCAAGGATATAGAACTCAGGCTCATGAAATGACACCAAGATCAATTAGTAAGCAATATTTCTGCCATAGATTCCTCTCTGGAAAGCAGAAGCTAATGCCTTCCACTAATCCAGCAGGCACTTATTGAGCACCTACGAGCATCTCCCAAAATCTCAAATTACTGCTAGATTAATTATTTATTGGAAATGAAGACTCTTTGTAATGTCAAGCCTGAAAAGGATGTTGAGGTCCTCAAAGTACTTTTTTTGTGGCTTTTTGGTTTTTTGTGGTAGAAACCCCACCTAATATGTCTACTGCAAAGTTCAAGTAAGGCAGCTTTCCCATGCTTGGTATTTCAAAGACTTTGGCACCAGAATTAAGTGCCAAATGAATGAGGAAGACCAAAGGTTGGGCTGAAGGGCACCTAAGTAGATCCTGCTGCAGCCTCAGCTGTTCACCAAAGGAGCAGAAGAGCCCCATGTCTTCAGGGAGTTCTCAGTGACAGCCACTCAGGATATACATTTTATAAGAAGCAGGAGGACAACCAGATTCCAATTTCATCTTTCTAGAAAGAAGCAGGAATCACTTTTCACTGATATTTATCGTCTCTGCTGGAGGCTAAGAGACAGGCTTTAACCACTGGAGGAGCTTGGTTGTGAAGCCTGGAGACTTGCCCTGTAATCCGAGCTTCTCTGCTCACTGACTATATGACCTTGAGCAAGGCTCTTTACTTTGAGCTTTGATTTTCTTATCTGAAAACTGGGAATAATATTATCCCCATAGTGCTGTTGTTGAGTCAGTGTTAGTGGCTCCTCTCCCTTGCTTTACAGCCTCTTCTTTTCTTTCTTTTATAGCAGACACTTTATTCTGCCTTATATTCTCAGTAATAGCTTCCGGGTCTGTCTCTCACACTAGATGGTAACTTTTTCAGGGCAGGAACTCAGCCCTCAACTTTGTAGTCTCCAAAGCCCAGGGCAACACTTTGCATGCAATGGGTGTATCAGTCACGGCCCACTCAGGAGAAGGAAACCACACAATAACTCAAACAGGAGGAATGTAATATAAGGAATTATTAATCTTTGATAGGAACAACTATAAAGATGTAAAGAGAACTCTAAAGGGTACCCTAAGGCTGGGAGAGAATACCCAAGGAAGAACAGACTTGGAAGGGGCCCCTCTCCACGGCTGGGGTTCAGATTTCAATGGAAAAGGTGTGGTTGTAGCCCACTGGATGGTGGAAGAGTTTGCTGGGTTGCCTGAACCAGAGCTGGTTCATAGTTGCTGGGTAGCAGGAAGCCCTCTGGGCACAGGTGAGATGAGACTGGTGGACAGGCCTGTAGAAGGAGTCAGGGCACACTGCCAATGCAAAGCCTGGAGCGCTCAGTGCCTGCATCAGGAGAGCCACAGAGCAATGGCCACTGGGCCCAGGCCAGGGCTGCAAGATCACTGAGCACCTATGCACTCTGGGCACACAGCCGGGGCAGAGCACCACTGAATGTCCCTACTGACAGACCTCGCAGCCAAGCAAGATCCGAATCTGGCAGAGAAGTCCCCCTCTTCCTGCAGTGTCCCTCCAGTGCCCTCTACTGACAAGGCTTGACGTAGTGTTCACCGAAAAGGAGAAATGCTTACAGGGTCCAGTCCATTAGTGCAGAGCACGGACAGGAGGGCGAATTTGGAGCTGAGAGACAATAACATGATAATTGGTACAATGGGTGATCAAGATGTTTGAATTAAGTTAGGTAAAGCCACATAGCCTTTCAATAATCCCCTTAATTCCTGCTTATTCCCCTTGCTTTGAATCCCATAAATTTTACCACCAATAAATGTAAAACCTCTTTAACTTCTTTTGTAATTTACTCTCTAGAAGCTCATTTCCCTCTGGGGCGTTCTGTTTGTCTTCTTAATGAGCATGTGTCTTCTCTTGGCTCATGCTTAAAAGAGACTGGCTGCAGAGGGCCGGGTGGAGAGAGTCACATGAGTCACACTAACAATCTGAGACTCGGTAATTCATTTCACAACTTATTTCTCCACTCAAATTTGAACTTGTTTTCCCACTGTCTGTTTCATTTCGAGGCAATCCACCTGTACCTCCCAAACACTTTAGGAGTGTCCCAAAGCACTTGACTTTAAGTGGCAGTGGAAAGAATCTGAGCTGACCCAAGAACCAATCCTTCTCTGCCTTTAAGGAGAATGCGGTGGTCACCTCAGGTCAGACAGGAGAGTTAATCTCCTTGGACAAATCTGAAGAGCCTAGTCTTCAAACATTTTAGAAGGAAATAGAGAGTGGAGCAAACAGCAGCCTTAGAGGATAATTGCAAGGACAGATATTATTTAGAAAGCATTTGGAAAAGACTAAGAGTTTTGAATTGAGAATCAAACCAAGAAGAGTATAGCTCGTAAAGAGCCCTTCAGCTGTTCTCTTGTGCAAGACCATGTTATTAACAGGCACCAAATTTGAGTTAAGACAATGTTCTTAAGCGTCGACCACTCTGTTCTTCCAAAATATTTCATTCTCTTATGAAGAGTCAGGTATAATTAGTGCTAACTGGTGATTCCCTGCAGTGACCAGCTAAACAGTGAGATGGGGATATGGTTAAGATTTCTTCAAGAATGAAGTGGTTTTCCAAACTTAATCTGTTTACCATCCTTCAGAAGAATGATCATCCCTGTAGACCAGAAAAATGGCAATGGAAAAAACTAGAGGAACTTAACCTTTCTGTCAGAATTTATATCTCTATATTGTGGCTTCTTTTTTTTTTTTTTTTTTTTTTGCAAGTAATGAACATTCTGAGCCAGCAGAACCTAGAATAGACTGGCAGGAAACCATCTCCGTATTTATCTCCGTATTTTTCTAAGCTATACCTTGTCACTCCTATGTGTACCAAGGACATCATCCTCTTAAACAATCAGGAAAAATACATGTTTATCCCTAAGTAATGGGATTGTGGTTTCTTTTCTTCTTTTTCCTTATCTGCATTTTCTGCAATGAGTGTGTATCACTTGTGAAATTAAATATACATAAAAATTTTAATGAAAACACATTTTTCTTCTCTAAATCTTGGGCTACATCACTGTCCAGCCTCTTCATTCCCCCTGCTCAGATTAACTTCCAAAAATCAGCAGACTTTGGTTTTGGAAGAGATTTGTTTCCTCGCTCTTGAACTTCTAAGAGCAGCCCACTTTTTCTTCTACCCCTTGCCAAGCGGTGCTTGATGCTACACCTGCCTCTGATGTGACAAAACCTAAGCGATGAATAAAAGGCTGTTATGGTTCTTGCACATTCCAAGGCAGGCGACAGCACCAGCGGGGGGCACTGAGCCAGGTGGAGATGCTCTGTGGGGTGTTACATTGCCTCAGGCACAGTTGTCCCGATCCTTGGGCACCATGGAGGATATCACCTGGTATCACTGACCTTTGATGTGTTGCTCTGCTTTTTCAGATTTTTGACAAAGAAGCCAAAGACCTAGAGAGAGAAGTTTGCTTTATTGATATTGCCTGCGATGAAATTCCAGAACGCTACTACAAAGAATCTGAGGTAAGCAGTAGGTGGGATGATGTGTAGAAGAGATTCACCCATTCATTCACTCATTCAACACACACATTTGAGTACCTCTTAACCTGGGAGACTTCCATCTGTTTTTGTATTAATTCAACTTGCTTTCACATCTTGTTGGGTTCTTTAACGCGGGTCTCAAAATTAAGCTCCTACTCCTCAGGGACCGTCATTGGCCCTGGCTGCTACTTAATTTCATGTTAGTTTTTCTGTCTCCCCAACTCTGCCATCATTCGGGGCAACATCAGTGTTCACAGGACGGAGCCATCAGCACACTGGCCTCTCTGAAAAGCAGCTGCCTGTCTTCCCAACTGCATGATTGCGAAGGCAGGGACTGTGTTTGATTTGTATCTTTGGGGTTTAACACAAAGAAAATGCTCGATCCATCCCTGAGACTTCGGTGGTTCATCTTGGCCCAGAACCTTTCTCTCAAAACAGCAAGCACCTTTGCAAGGGCTTTTCCTTTTTTCTTCTTGGCTGAGAATAAAGTTAAGAGAATATCTTTCTCTGTGGTTACCAACCTACCAGAACCCATCCTTTGCCTTAGTTCTACCTTTTTATTTTACTGCTGGTACGAGTCAGCATTTATGTCCTGTTAGTATTTTATTACCGGCTGTGACAGAACTTGGGTGACCTGCTTGTAAGTAACATCCCAGCCCTGCAACGACAACAGATGCAGGGCTATTTTTGTTGTTTAGCAACATGCAGCCAATCATTTATTACCGGCTGTGACAGAACTTGGGTGACCTGCTTGTAAGTAACATCCCAGCCCTGCAACAACAACAGATGCAGGGCTATTTTTGTTGTTTAGCAACATGCAGCCAATCACAATACGTTTGGAATCAGGGCCCCAGACTCGTCCTTGAGCCATAACACATGGACCTTGAAACTCTTCTCTCAGGTCCCTTGAGGCTGATTGAAGATATAATGAATACAATTTTTAAAATGAATTCCACCATTACACAAACAAACTGGGCTCCCAATCTGGTTTGAATTTTTTGCCTCCACGTGTTGGAATTCGTTTGGATAGAAAAGTCTTACCTGATCATAGCAAATGCTTAGCTGCTTAATTGCAGGTGTGTGCTCTTCAGCCACTATTCCTCAAAGGGCCAGGGAGAGGCTGATGTGAATGAATCACTGTGGCACATACATGGACCCAAAGGTTGAGCAATTTAACGTCATCAACTTACATTACACTCTGCAGCCAACCACATCTGCACATTTTAAGAAAAATAGTTAAATGATCTCTGTGTAAGTGTGGATCTGCTGAAGAGAAGAATAGACAGGGCTCCTCTGGCCTGGGCCTTGTCTCACTCTATGGGGATTCTATGGTTTCGGATCACGTCCACCAATACTTAAGGGGGCTTTGACAATGCACAGCACAGGTGAAGCCGTTGCCCCATCACCCCTGTGGCTCCTTGGGCTGGCTGGGCTACTGTCCGGCCTGGACATCCTGGCCTCTTTGGGAGGAAGCTCTGAGCTATTTTCAGCTCTTCCTCTCAGAGTGCTTTGGCATGGTCCTCAGGGATTTCCCTCCTGATTCGGTAGAAAGTCTTGGGACAGTTATAGAATATTAATGAAGAAATCAAGTCTCTTTTCTGGTCAGCAGGTGCCTGACTCATTTCCCTGTGTTTGGTGCCCCCAAGAACCACTGGGAAGCTTCTTTTCATTTACAGAGACATCTGAGGAGCTCTTTCTTCATGTTTCAGAGTCACTCATGGACACCATCATACCTCTTTCCCTGGGTCATAAAGGATGCTGTTCCTGGATCCTGCAGTTTGACCAAGGAAATGAGACATGAGTAGTCATCATCCAGGAAATATTTACTGAGTTGGCTGTCTGGTTATCCCAGTTGGTTAGAGTACGGTGTTATAACACCAAGGTCAAGGGTTTAGATCCTCATAACAGTCAGTCGCCAAAAGAAAAAAAAAATTTACTGAATACTTATCGAGTGTCCCATACAATGTGCAGACAGGGACATGGCAATGATCAAAAGGGACACCCAAGGTCCCTTTCCTCGGGACACTTCCAACCTAGCAGGGGAGCCAAACAGTGAAGAAATAATCACATAGATACACGTGGAGCTGAAAGTCACAAGTACAAGAAGGAAGTGTTCAGGGAAGACTGTGATTAAAAAGAAGAAACAAACTGAATTTAAGAGTATGTGATCAGGAGAGATGTTCTGGAAAAAATGACATTAATGCTGAGACCCACAGGATGAAAAGAACCGGGGAGCAGCTTCCCAGGTGAAGTAGCAGCCTGTGCAGGAGCCCAGGGTGACATGCAGGAGGGATGAAAGAAAGCCAGCACGGCAGTGGCGGCACAGGCCACAGGAAGAACGGCCCGAAGTGGGGTTGGAGAGGAGAAAGGGTCCGTGCTTAGACACAGATTTTATTGAAGTGCAATAGAATGCCTCTGTAGAAATGGGAGCTGGGGCAGCATAGGATCTGATGTATGCTTTTAAAAGATTGCTCTTGATGGAGAATGTGGACTGGAGAGGGGCAGAATGGAAGTCAAGAGACCACTGAGGCCCTTCAAGTGAGAAGGATGGAGCAGCCAGAACTGGAGGGCTGGCAGCAGAGACAGCGGGGAGCAGATGGCTTGGAGGTATATCTTGAAGACAGAATTGACAGGGATTGGCCATGGACTGCATGTGGGGATGAGAGAGAGGAGGAGTTGGGATGCTTAAGGATTCTGGCTTGGGCACATAGATGGGAAGATGAGAAGAGGAATGGATTTTGGAGAAAGATAGGTGGGTTTTCTGATGCCAGTGAGGCTTCTAGAACAAATAGAGATGAGCCTGGAGCTTAGGTGAGAGATCTGGGCTGGAGATGAATTTGGGAGTATTTAGCAAAGAAAAGATTTTAAAATCCTGGGGATGGATGAGAGAGAGAAAGCATGAAGTGTAAACGGTGAAGGGTGGCAGCATTTGGAGATGAGGAAGAGGGTGGGGAGGCACCGGGAGTCTACAAAGAATTGGCCAGAGAGGCAGGAGGGAAATGAGGAGTGCACCATGGAATGCATGTGTCAAGAGGAAGAGGTGGATCGGTTGTGCGGGAGGCTGCTGAGAGACCAAGTAGGATGGAATGGAAAACTGTGCTCCAGAACAGCTCTCCACTGGAGGCAATTTTCCCTGACAAAGATGCGTGGCAATGTCTGGAGACATTTTTGGTTGGCCATCCCAACTCCTCCTCTCTCTCATCCCCACACACAGTCCATGTCTGATCCCTGTCAATTCCATCTTCAAGATATACCTCCAAACCATCTGCTCCCCTCTGTCTCTGCTGCCAGCCTTCTGGTTCCAGCTGCCATATAACCTAAGTGTCCAATACTGTACATCCCTCTAATGGAGAGTGCTACTGGCATCTAGTGGGGAGAGGCCAGGGACGTGGCCAAACATCCTGTAAAGCACAGGAAGTGCTTCTCCTCAAAGAATTATCTGGCCCACAGTGTCAATAGTGCCAAGGCTGGGAAACCCTGCCCTAGAGGAAGAGACGATTGGAGATGAAGGGAACTCTGGATTCAGCTCTCACACTTAGTCACCCCTTGCCTGTCCTGGAGTCTTAGGGTTTCTTAAAGGATGTGGAAGGAAGGGGTCCCTTAGGGCTCAGTCCTGCACACTCTTTGTCATGTACAGCTTCCCGGAGGATCTGCTGGCCTGTGTTACAGGTAGGATTCTTTCTCCATAGACCTGGCAATTAGACCACAAAAGACTACCGGCATAATCAGGAGCCTGCAATAAAATCTTAGGAAAAGTATACCCCCTTGGACTCCCTTGTGACCCCAACCCAGAGCCCAGACTGCAATCTGAACCCACCAGAAGGGAGAGGAGTGAGTCTCCCAGGCTATTTTGGTGGTTGTGTCTACCATGAATATGCCAGGGACTAAACCAATTCAGACAGCAAGCTGTTTCCAAATCGACTTCTACTCAGCACACTGTAAATAATTAACACCTTCCTCCCCACTACGAGAGTTTCCTTCCGTAATGAAATTTGACCTTGTCACTCTCTGCTTAAACCCCTTTTTGTGAGCTTTCCTGGGCATGCAGCTGTCTAGGAGTTGAAGTTCTGGTCTGTGGCTTCTAGATCATGCTAATTCACGCTAGCTCAGAGCTACACCATGAGCTCCGCGCAGACAAGAGCTATGTCTTTTTTATCCCCATATCTCAGCGGCTGCTACCACAGCACCAGCACTTAGCAGATGCTCACTCAAGGGTTGTTGAATGAATGAGTGAAGGCTTTGTCTTTTTTCTTTTTCCAGCAGCAACAATTTCAGAGCGAACATTATCCAAGAAAATGGATTTGTTGTCATTAATATAATGTGAATGCCATTAGCTGTTGTGAACCACAATTCCTTTTTTAATTTATTTTTTATCTGAGGCATACAGGTTTATGAGCCTTTTCTTCCAATCCATCTTTGTAAGCGGACTATGTCAGCATCATAAATAGGAACACATGTTGTGTGGAGAAAGCTGGAGTGCTGCTGGGCTGGATCTGTTTTGAGATTTTTCTGCTGCTGATGAATCCAGACCAGGGTTATCCAGGGCATTTCTCTCCACCTAGATCCTGTCACACACGCTGCCATCCAGGCCAAAGGAGGGGACTAAAGCACTTTCTTTTCTTTTTCCAATTTTCCCTGGAAACCGAGCCACAGAGTCAAGAAAGCCTCTCTCATTAAGGTGACCAGAGCTGGGAATTTTCCACTGGGTATCCTCTGCGTGGTGGCCTTCGTGCCACTACAAACCAGTGATTCAGAAGGACACTTTGGGGACTCAAGATCAGCTGATAGCCCAGCACTCTTTTTAGTCTCACGTTTGCGGTGCTGTTTTCTGTCCAAATGAAAGATCTGAGCTTCAATTCCCAAGAGCCTCTTAGTCTCAAGTTTTGTTCTTGTAACCACGGGAGGACTCTACAAGGCTGTGCTGCATTGTAAAAAAAATAATAATAATCAGTGTGACTTCGCAGGGAGAGAGTGCACCTCCA